CACTTTCTGTTAGGTAGGATTTATGTGTGGAAGCTTCCTGTAGTGATATGACTGATTTCAAACATTTTAATTTGTTGTTGTTGGTAAACTAAGAGTTAGTCACCTGGAACTGCACTTGAGATCTTCAGTGGAAGCTGCTTGCCACCTGACCTAATCACCGCCTGCATKGTCAACACACTGATTTATGATGCAAAGGTGCAACTACATAAGCAGTGTTACCTGATACGCTGGAAAAAAAACATGGTGATGTACTAAGAATAGAGAAGTGTGATCGAATATACAGTATGTGAARGCTGACTGTTAATGGTAGTTTGCCAGAGCTATTGGTGAGAGAAATGGTTTAGCTGTACCAACTGGTGGAAAGAGAAAACACAAAGAACCAAGTAAATAAACACAAGAAAACATGAAACGTTAATGTAAGAAGTCATGTGTTATTATTAGATACACGTTTTAATCCTAATTGCAGTCAAAGTCTTGGTTGTTGTAGAATTATAAGCTAGTTAATTATTTGAAGTTGTGACGCTTGATCTAATTTCAGTTTCTTTATTTTCAACTCATGTCTGCAGCATCAGTAAGTTTGACGAACGCTGCTGCTTCCTCTACGTCCACGACAACTCAGACGACTTCCAGATCTATTTCTCCACAGAGGAGCAGTGTGGTCGGTGAGGACACACACCTCTAGATGTGTCTGTGTAGGTGTGTGTGTGTATGTCCCTGCTTGTGTTTGCACAGCATGTGCAAAAAATCTCAAGTCGTCTGTTATTTCTCTCTACTCAGAAAGACTATAGAAAAATGAACCGAAATCTTAGTAAAAGTTTATAAAGAAAAAGTCAGGTTTCTGAGAAGAAAAGTTAGTATGATTTTTTAAAAATCTTGTGATTTAAAAAATCCACAGGCCAAAAACAAGAATCATGATGTGTATCTGTGGTGGTGTGTGTCAGGTTCTGCTCCATGGTGAAAGAGATGATATCTGACGGGACGGGGAATGCTGTGGAGCTAGAGGGGGAAGGTGATGGAGATACGTTGGAGGTCAGCATGTATCTGCAAATTTCATTTAATTATATATAATTAAACTTAGTTACATCATTTTACATCAGATGCACATGTCTGTGTGTGAATGTGTGTGTGTGCATGGGTGAATGTCTGAAGTGTAAAGCGCCTTGGGGTACTACTTATTTACCATTTATGACTGAAACGTCTTAAAACAACCGTGTGTTACAGTACGAGTATGACATCGATGAGAATGGAGACAGGGTGGTGCTGGGTCGGGGCACTTATGGAGTGGTGTATGCTGGGAGGGACCTGAGCAACCAGGTCCGGATCGCCATCAAAGAGATCCCTGAGAGGGACAGCAGGTAAGAAAACAGAACTGTAGTTGTGAAGTCTGGTGTATGCTTTTGTAGAAGTAAAGGAAAAAATAACATACTAAAATTATCATAATTTTACATTTAACTGTAAACAACTAAAAAGTAGGCTACAGACACCGCCCCCCACCTAAATCAGACTGTTTTTTTATTAAGAATTTTGTCTGTTTTATTAAATTGTGCAGTCCACTAAAAATAATCAAATCAAATCAAATCAAATCAA